TCTTTCCCTGATAGGAGTTGGCCTCATGGAGGTTGTCATGGAGCCTGATATGTGCTGTGGGGAAGAAGCAGCTGCGGCAGTCAGAGAGCTTCAGCTCATCCTTCAAACACTTGGGAGCAGCCAGGCAGTCATGGCAGGTACAGAAAGGGGAAGGGCACGTTCCCTTGTCACCAGTAATTCGTTGTGTTCGCAGGAGTTTTGCAGTTTCTGGTTGTTTTGCTTTGTGGTTGCTTATAATGCATAGCCTTTTCTAGCTGTTTTACAGTTTTCAGAGCCTGTCCTAATGTCTTCTGTGCTTCAGGAGTCCTTATAGGCCTGCCTTCCTCTGCAGAGATTGGCAGTGCTAGATTTTATGTTGCCTCACACAGTAATTTTGCAGGAAGGAATGTCTCCAGGGTTTTTGTGGTGTTTCCCCCCATCTGTCCTCACCTTGCTTGCCACAGCACTTCAGCACAGAAGAGCTGTAGTAAGGCTTAGTTGTAGAATATGGAAGTTATGGGACGAAGTAGTTGGAGCATGGACCATCTTGTAACTTGGGTGTCAGGTCTCAGCTAGTCATAAAATGGATGCAGGCAGTAAATTTGTGCTGGTGTCATGGGCGAGATGGAATAAACAGTGCACAGCACATATGGGTGCTGGGGTTAATTTAAGAACTACTGAGATTGTGGCTTTGACCCTAGTTGATCATTTCGTACACTTGCTCTGTTCCTCCCTTCCCTCCAGTGTTACATTCACTGGGTCTCCACTTCTCTTCCCCACTTGTCTGGGGAGGTGGGCCAGAAAATTGTGTTGGTTTATGGTGTGCAGGAGCCTTGCAGCTACCAGTCTCAAGTGCTAGAGGCCAAGGTCCCTAGGCATCCCCTAGCATTTGTCTCCATGCATGTCTCTGATCTTCAGGATCCTCCCTCACCTCCAGGATCTCTCTAGCCAAAATCACTGCTACCTTTCTGAGACTGCTTCCTCTTTTGGGAACCCCTGTTTTTAGCACCAGCTCTTCTTTTTGGAACCCTAAGGCCCTAATTTTCCCAGTAGGTGATATGCAAAAGCACAGCATGTGATCAGCCTCCTAACTGGTGATCCTGTCTTATGTCTCTCTATTAACTGGAAGATTCATTTTTTGCTTAGTCCTAATGTTATAAAAATTTACACCCGGCCCATGGTTACAGCTAGCAAATAGCAGGCTTCTGCTTGAGAGTTTAAAAGTACAGTTTTGGGCATTCATCACCTCTGTACATACACCCAATTATCAGCTGCCTATTAGTTTTCACAATGTAAGTTATATTTTTGCCCGTGACAGCTGGCTTTGCTGATCTGGCAACAATTTCAGGCCATAGTATAAGTGGACGTATCTCCTAGAGAGCTGAGTCAGTGGTCCATGTATCACTGAATAAATGGGATCCAATAAATGTTGGCTAGTGATGCAAATCTAATTTAATGTAGGGGAAGATTATAATTGCTAGACTTTATGTATGTCTCTGAATCCTTTCTCTCGCTAGTGTTACATATGTCAGATGGGGCAGGGTAGTTAATATTAAGCAGCCAGTTCACATGCTTCTTCAGTGGCCTTCGTGGACACACACGCATTTATCGCTACTGAGTTTGGCCCGAAGATTGCCATTGGAATTGCACCATGATATCTTTTATTGCAGTGAGATTTCTGACTTTAGAGGAGAATTCCAGTGTTGGGAATACTTTTGTTGCAGTATAGCTGGCTTTAAAAGTATTTGGATTCTTTTTCAAGGTGGTGTTTTTAAGGGCTTTCTCCTGTGACTTTCCCTCATTACTTTCTTTCAAATGAGAACTTTACATTCTCATATTTTGCCTTCATTCCACTTGTGTGTTCAGTGAAGAAAAGTGCCCAGTTTTATCAGGTGTTATTTCATTAACAACAAACAGATTAAAAGGTGATTGTATTGCAAAGTGAAAGGAAAAGAAGTTGGGCTTAAACTGGGCTTGATAAAAGCTTTTTTAAGAACATTTGGGGCTTGGTTCTCCTTTCACTTACGCCCGATTAGCTTCATTGCCATGTCACGTTGATGCCTACATCCAAGTAGAGGCAGGTCCTACGACTCAAAATGAAGCAAGGGCAGGACAAGACTATTACTTTTTTGGAACAAGTACTCATTTCACCCCAGAGAGGGAGCACATGCAAAACACTTCTCTTTCAAGAGATGTCGGGCCATTCCAGCACCTTTGTCCTTCATTTGCATGTCTGGCAGGCCTCTATGAAGGAAATTAGTGCACTATCATCCAGCCTGCTTTTACAAAGTGTACCAAGGCCTCGCTAGTCAGTTTACATCTACTGACCAGAATGGGTTCTGAAGCTGTGGATGCCTTCACAGGTTTAACTCTTAGCTGCTTTGTGCTCTCTTTATTAGTACTACTGTATCTAAACAGTAAGGAGTTGTTTCTTTTTATCTATATTTGATTTTTTTAAAAAAAGAAGCCTACAGATGTTCACTGTGCAATATGGGGAAAATTATGTTTGTTTATAATAGACCCTCTCCAGTTTGTTTATTCCCACCAGTTGAATAACTCTGGCAGGCCTTTTCTTCTCAGAAGGGCTGTTTGTAGAGGGGCAAAACTTAGAAAGCTACAATTACAAGTTACTTGTGGTTGAGTCATTAAAGATCTCTAAGGACATGAATCCATTTTGGACTAAAAGCGCAGGATGCTTTTACGTGTAACTTTGTATTCAGTTTCAGTTTTTGGCAGCCAGGGAAATTGGGGGTGGGAGTGGAGATTGTGAAGATTGCAGTTTCTTGAAAGAGAGGAAGAAAATTACAGAAAAATCCACCACTTCTCACATTTTTGTCCTTGAGCTGTACATTTCCAAGAACACCTTAGTAAATCTGTTCAACATAACTGTGAGTTCTTGTGTTCCATGCTAGGGTAGTAAATAGCCATCAAATTGTAATTCCAAAAGGTATTTTTATGCTACTTTCAGAGAAATGGAGGCTCACAATCCACCACTTTAGATTACTTGTCTAATTCTGCTCTTTTTTTAAGAACTGTGCATCAGAAGTGTTTTTCACTTGCATGGCTTAGAGCATCTGCCCTGTGCTGGACCACGCAGTTTTGTCTGAGAGGGATTATGAGCAATAATTTAAAAAAAAAAAGTATTCTCAGAAAAGTTTGGATGGTTCGAGGCTGTGGCTTGAGATGGAATCACAATCAGAAAGCTGTGATGAAGTGGTTGTTAGTCCTTTCTGAGCATATGGAAATCTGCTATTAATGCTCTGCACATAACATGCAGTTTATTAATGCTTGCCAAGGATTTTACTCTAGTTTACAGGGCAGACTATTCTGTTGATAAAATTTCCTTTCACAGAGGGTCAGCTGAGAGTGGATGCCAACGTTTCTGTGCATCACCCTGGAGAGCCTTATGGAGTGAGGACTGAAGTGAAGAATATCAATAGCATACGATTCCTGGCCAAAGCAGTAGGTAAATGATGGTTGCTTCATTATAAAAGCATTGTAGATATTTTATGTGGTCTATCATGTACTGAATGCAGTAATTGGCCTTAAATACCCTGACTAGCTTCACCTGGGTGCCCTTGCCCATGGGTCCAGGAGTCCCATTTAAGCTCAGACTGGGGCCTTCGGACTTTGCTTGAGCTGTGTTACAGGTGTCCAGTTTTCAGTCCTGTCTTTTGATGGACCTTGGACCTGTTCTGTAGTCTTGTTCCCAGTCCTGTCTCTGGACTTACCTCCTGCTGCTGCTGACTGAACTCCCTGGGTGTGCCCTGGACCCAGCTCATCCCTCATCTTGGCTGAAACTCTCAGTGTACCCTGTTTATAGCCTGTGCCTCTGCCCACACACTTCAGACCAGTGGGACTGTGCCAGATTGTGAGGGCACTGCCTGTGCTGTGGTCACCCTCAGCTCCTGGCTTGTCCCTGCTCTTACTGCTCCCTGACAGGATAAATCTTAGTATGGGTTTCTCTGTGAATAACAGCCAAGTTAGTCTGCAGTTTTCTTGCAGAGGTAACCCGCTGCCTGCAAGAATAAAGCAGATGATTCAATGCCTAGCACGTTTAGTACTGAAATATGTCAGCAGTAGTTTTGTGTCCTCCATTGTAGATGATTGCTTTCCACCGAGTACGGTAGGTGGTGTATGTGAAGTTCAGATGCAGCTTGGGTATGAGCAAGAAAGGATGATTATTACATCTCCAAAAGAAAACTCAACTGGGTGATTGGAAGGTCACTAGGAATGTATAGCTTGGCTGCTGTGCCTGGGAGAAAATGTTTTCTATTTAAAGGGAATGAAAGAAGGTGAAGAAAACACACAAAGAAAGAAACAGTGCTGGAGAAGGAGACAGTGACTGATAATTCTGCCTGTAAATACTGCTGTTGATTTCATTAAGGTTAAAACAACAAACTATTCCTTTAGTGCACAGCAGTGAAAGATTAAATAGTGGAGTGCACAAAAGCTAATAGTGCAGTATAACAAGCTTACTCTTTTTTCTTTTGTTCCTGTCAGACTATGAAATACAAAGGCAAATTGAAGAACTTGAAAATGGAGGAACAATTCTGAATGAAACAAGAGCCTTTGATTCCAAGCTTGGGTGAGTTTTTATTTTGGTGGAATATCAGGAATAGCAGCTTTAGAGTGCCACGGATACCTGGGGGCATGAGCAGGAGAGGTAACACAGTATTGCTCAACTTCTAGCTTCTGAAGCTAACGTTCACAATCAGTCTCCTCACAGGTAGTAATATATTCTTAAGATTGAAGCTTTTTCACAACAGATTGTGTGCTACATCAAGCAGTGTCTGTGTGAAAATGACTGCCCTCTTACATACACACATTCTCTGAAATGGCTTTAAGAAGTTTTCCCCAGCTTTGTGAGGCAAAGTGTTTTGTTTTGTGTTGTTGCCATAAGACTAATTCTGTGGGGTACCTCTTACCACATCTTACTTGTTTTGTTTTTATTTTAGGTGCACGATACCAATGAGAGACAAAGAAGGAAAACAGGACTATCGGTATTTTATTTTTTTAATAAAGTTAACATTTCAAGAAGTGAGAATTTATTCTGTTTCTGAAGTGTAGTCAGTGTAATGAGCACCGTGAGTGTGTATTGGAAGTTTACCTTCCACTGGAAGAGGAAGAGACCTGTCAAAATTAGTGCTAGTCTGAGCAGTTCAGATCTAGAACTAGTGTCTCTTCTTTGCTAAAACCCATAGACCTTTCCCAGAAAGTAGGATGGGAGTGCCTTACCTCAAAGCAGGGAAGTTGAAGGTTTACTTTATGGCCAGTACAAGTGTACTTACAATACCTGACCATACAAAGTAAGAATATTCTGAGATAAGCATTGTTCCCACTTTAAGTAAATACTGAGGGAAATTATTTTCAGATAGCAGGCCCCTGCCTCTCCATGCTTAAAGTCTGTGATCGTAGATCACAATCACTGTTTGAAAATCCCAACTACTATTGAAAGGTGTCAGCATTCATAGGCAGGTTTCTACCTTAAGATCTTTGTAGACCTAATGAAGATGTTACCTTGCTAAGTACTTCTTTCCTTTCACCAGTGTGAGATGACAGCCATCAAATCATAAACAGCCACCCAAGAAGGGTTTAGCCAGAAGGTGAAGGGACAAGGCAGAGGTCCTGTTGGGAAGCAGTGGTGCTGGGAACAAGTGCTGGGGCAACGCTGCAAAGCTGCTTAGTGCCCTAGCGCAGGAGGCAGTCACAGTGGTGTCTGGATGGGATGGAGAATAGGGATGCAGCTCAGTGATCACTCTGTGAATTCCCTAGTGTGATAGGGGCTGGCATGAGGTTTATTTAACAAGACTAAATTGAACAAATGCAAAAGAAAATTTGTTCAAACATAGGCAAAACTGGTGACTCCAAGATATTTCAAATAGAGCAGAAAGTTTATTACTAGTGCTAAGAATATGATCAGTATTAAACTGTGGGGTTTTTTTCAGATTTTTGTAACTTACTGCTGCACATTATACATTAAACTTAAAATCTATGTTTAGGCAGATTTGAAATAGAAATTATTATAGTAAATGTAGAGGGTGCCCAATGTCCTTTCTTCTGATAGTTTTGAACCCCACATTTGATCATGTAAGAGAAGTTTCTGCTTCAATCGCAGTTATTGGAGTGGTTTGAATTGGCCTTGTCTTTAAAGGAGCCTTTTGTTCTGTGATGGCACCCTGCTGAGCACAGTAACTTTGCTTTTAGCACAGCATGAGATTGCATCAAGAATTTTGAAGTTAATCTGGAAAAGGTTACAACCTGCCCACATCACTCCTGGCAGTTGGCTGTCAATCTGGGGTTTTCCCTGCCAATCCACTCCCATTTGTGTCCAGATCCACAATTCATGCTTGATGCCAAAAGGAATGGGTTGTTTCCATCTCTATTTTTATTGGGTTTATTGGGGCTTTTTAATTATTATTTTGGGTACAGATGTGTTTTAATTACCTTTTTTCTGTAATCAGCTCTTTGACCATTAGTGGCAAATACTCAAAGGAATCAAATAAAGTCTCTGCAGCAGTCCAGGGGCTGGTCTCTTATTACTTAACAGTGATATCCCAAGGCATGGATTTTTCATATTTTGCTTAGTTGAAATAGTAATACAACTTCCGGTAAGTATAAACATGTGATATAAATTTTATTCCTTGTTGTTTAGCATCTGACTGAAAATACTTATAAAGGAGTTTTTCTTCATTTTTAATAGGTTCATGCCGGAGCCAAACCTTCCTCCATTGATTCTGTACGATGCGAAATCTTTGCCAGCTAATATGAACCATCAGCAAGTGGTAAATATTGATTGGATTCATGAGACACTTCCTGACCTCCCCAGTGTGAAGAGAGCAAAGCTTGTTGAACAGTATGGGATTCTTCCTGAGCACAGCTTCACCTTAGTGGTAGGTCTATTGATCAAGTGCTAAAATAAGCCTGGAAACATCGAAGTTGCGCTGTTTTTGAAAAGATTTACAGCTGTCATATTAACCAGCTGTCAGTTCTCATGGACATTTCTCATTTGGAAATATGTCCAATGCATACTGTGTGCCTTGGAGACATACACAGAGTGGTGGGGAAAAGAAAGAGTACACAGTGAGCTTGTTTCTCATGCAAGGTGCAGTCAAATAACTATTATTTAATATTGATCTTATCTGTCTACACATGGGTGCACCCGTGACTGACTGCAACAGATATACTTTTTGCTGATAAACCCACGTCTGCAAGTGCCTGCTCTTGTCTTTGGGTCTGGTACAAGGCTGGGAATGTTGACAGTACTTAACAAATTAATAGACATGTTTTCTTCACTGCAGAATCACAGAATCACAGAATCACTCGGTTGGAAAAGACCTCCGAGATCATCACGTCCAACCGCTCCTGTCTACCCCCTAAACCATATCCCTAAGTACCTCATCTACCCGCTCTTTAAATACATCCAGGAATGGTGACTCCACCACCTCCCTGGGCAGCCTGTTCCAGCTTCTGACGACCCTCTCAGTAAAGAACTTCCTCCTTATCTCTAACCTGAACCTCCCTTGGCACAGCTTGGTGCCGTTTCCCCTTGTTCTGTCCTCCAGCAGCTGGGAGAAGAGACCAGCACCAACCTCTCTATAACCTCCCTTTAGGCAGTTGTAGGTGGTGATGAGGTCTCCCCTCAGCCTTCTCTTCTCCAGGCTAAACAAGCCCAGTTCCCTCAGCTGCTCCTCATAAGGCTTGTTCTCCAGACCCCTCACCATCCTTGTGGCTCTTCTCTGAACACGCTCCAGAAGCAAAACCTAAGGTTTAAATCTTTCAGCTTCACATGCCTGTTGATCTAGCTTCCACATTATTTTGAAAAAGACCCAGACTTATTCTTAGGTAAGTACTCCAAACGGCTGAACAACGTCAACTTTGACCTCAACATGCAGTTTGTCAGGGGTAGGTTCAGAAGAGGAGATGAGAAAGAAAAGGATATGGCAAATGTGGATATAAATAAGGAAATGACAGCAAAAGCTCATAGCTTCCAAAATTATTCTAAAGGACTTTGAGCTTCTTAAACACAAACTGCATCATCTGAGTTAGCCACCAATAACTCTGTGGGGGGGTTAGCAAACCTCCCCAGTATTAGACATTGCACATAGCCAGCTAAGCTAGGGCAGTGTCCTGCTTTGGTTATCTCTGTGATTAGTGGAGACAGAAGGAAAAGGACTTCTTTAGAGTAAGATTCAGAGCAGAACCGTAAATACTTTAAATTATCCTCTGGAGGAGTTCCTTTCCTTTGACTATAAATGGAGGGAGAGCAGCGCACATAACTACCTAATATCCCTCCTTTGTGTGTCTGTAATTTAATACACTTCTACAGAAGCTGATTCTACAGAAAATAAAAGAGATTCTTTCTTCTGAAGAAAGCTGTTAGGAAAACTGCTTTTGTGGTAGTGTGCCATTTTAGTGAGTTGCAGATCTTTTACTGTTTGGTGGGCAGGTGAGTCATAAGTCTCATCATCATTGAGAGGTGCCAGTAGTTCTTACCTTTCTGTTTCATTGTATAAGCTGCAAAACGTGATTTTACAGCCAATATTCCTGTCCATGCATTTTTTTCACATCAGCATATTTCTTGTGTATTAAAATAAACAGAGCTTAGAAGAGTAGATAGGTCCTGAACCTTTTTTCTGACTTTTTTTTCTTCTTCTCCCTCACTGTGGGGGTTCACCCTGGCCAGCTGCAAAGCATCACCACTGCTTCCTCATTTCTTGTGCCAGAGGGACAGAGAAGAGAGTGGGAAGAGCAAAAGTGAGAAGACTCATGGTTTGAGATAAAGACAAATGAGTGTTAAGAGGAAGAGGAAAACCCCAAAGTGATGCAAATGCAGTCACTCACTACCTCCCACAAGTAGACTGATGTGTGGCCAGTGTCCAACCAATAACAATTATACCTCCCCCAAAATCCCTATCCTTCAGTTGTCCTTGCTGAGCAGGGTGTTTTGTGGCATGGAGCATACCCTTGGTCAGTTGGGCTTAGCTGTTCTGGTTGTGTCCCATCCCAGCCTCGTGCCCACCCTCAGCCTGCTTGCTGTGGAGGGCAGAGTGGGAAAAAGGCAAAGTCCTGCTCAGTAGTAGCCAAAACACTGGTGTGTTGTCAGCACGGCTTTAGTCACAGATCCAAAACACAGGCACCCTGCGGGCTGCTCTTATGAAAATAAACTCCATCCCAACCAGGCCCAGTTCACCCACTCAAGTGGACTGGCATCCACCCACTTGTTGAGCACTTCAGTTTTGCTGCTGTTGATGGCTTCTGCTGGGTGCTTTCTGTCGTCTCTATCAACAAGCCCTGTGTATTTGCCTCATCAACTTCCCTTTCTCTCCAGCTGTTCTCTGAAATCCACTATTGCCTTTGCTTGTTCCCTTTAAACTTTTTGGTTTTTTTCTTCCTTTTTGCAACGTAGAAGACAATTAATGAGCTCCAAGCTGAAATCTGGGATTCAGCTGGTGATAAGATAATGCATCCATTTGAATGCATGAAGCGAACGCGGTCGTCATTGCGGGTCCTCTTTTATTGTGCATTAGAATGTCAGCATGTATACTCGCCATAAAAGTTGCTTGCCTGTTCACTGGGAGACCAGTTAACCTTAATTCATCTGAAAACACTCTGTCTGCTGCTGTGGTGCGCGTACAGCAGAAGTTGCAGAAGTTTGCTGATAGGGCCAGATACACAAATCTAACGAGCGTTCTCACAGGTTAAAGCGCCCAGGAGTGCTCATTAAATAAATGGCAGTAGTAGAGGGATGGCTCTAAAATGCAAAATCTCTGTTCTGCGCCCACTTGTTAGAGAAAACATTACACGTCAAAGTTATAATAAAACAATACCGTACTTCAGCATGCAAGTTAGTTTCTGAGCTTACTTCGTGAGCTTTGTTCTTACATGCAACAGCTACCTGTACAGGATACATTCTCTATCCTGCAGGATTGAGAATCTGGGGCTCCTTCATTGCCTAATCACGAGATGTACTGAAATGGAAGAAGAGCCTTACCTATTAATATCTTTATATCTGGAATTGCTTAAGTGTAAACTGCTGCATTTTTGACAGTTTTGCATAAATTGGAAAAATAAATTAAGGTTCTGATTTTCTGCATGCAGAACCCTTCTTATTCCTAAAGATAAAAGTATTCAAGCCACGTAGACTCTCTGGTATTTGGGTACTCAATTTCTGCATGCACTTTCTACTTTGCTGTGTAAACTGGTAGGCTGGCAAATACTTCAGTCAAGAATGATCTCTGACAACTTTTCCAGTTATGGTATTATTATATTTTTGTCTTGCTTCCTATTGAGTCAAAAAAAGAACATGTATTGGCATAGACGTGGATGTGATGTTTTGTTTTCAAAATGCCTGATGAAGTCTGGGGTGGTCCAACCAAATAGATCAGTTGTCACAGTACAGCATTAGAAAAAAAACAGTCTGGTCACAGAATCACAGAATCGCTCGGTTGGAAAAGACCTCCGAGATCATCGTGTCCAACCGCTCCTGTCTACTACCCCCTAAACCATATCCCTAAGTACCTCGTCTACCCGCTCTTTAAATACATCCAGGGATGGTGACTCCACCACCTCCCTGGGCAGCCTGTTCCAGCCTCTGACGACCCTCTCAGTAAAGAACTTCCTCCATATCTCTAACCTGAACCTCCCTTGGCACAGCTTGGTGCCATTTCCCCTTGTTCTATCCTCCATCACCTGGGAGAAGAGACCAGCACCCACCTCTCTACAACCTCCCTTAGGTAGTTGTAGGTGGTGATGAGGTCTCCCCTCAGCCTTTTCTTCTCCAGGCTCTTCTCTTCTCCACTTCCTTTCTCATCTGAATTCCAAGTCTTCCAGTACATTTGCTGTCCCCTGCTTACTCAGATGAAAGTGGCAGCTCCACTTGGGCTTTGATTATTGCTTTGGTGGAACAATTGCATGGGTGAATCCTTCAACCAGCCAGAAGTGGGATGCGGGAGAAGCTGGTTTTGACCATTTTACTTGTGACAATCCATTCTCATAACTGGTGGTGTGCAGGTGACTTTATGCTTACTTTTAGACCGTAGATTATTGTATAAGATGCTGTAAAAAATGTTTGAACGGTCCTTGACTGCTCTGCTTGTAGGCTGGATTTTCTGGTTGGTTTTTTTCCCTGACAATCTTGCACATTGTTGCAGCAGTTGTTACCTCGCAGTTGGTTATTGTGGAAACTGTGGTGGTGAGAATGGGAATAAGAAAGCAGAAAATGACATTTTATTTGGTAACATTGATGTAGTTTTCTTCTTCAGGTCTTTAAGAAACATTATTGGTCTTTAAAAGCATAAGTTTGTGTTACAGACCCAGTGTCTAAAGATTGTCCCATGGTATTTTGTCAAATAATGTACTGTTTTACACTTGTTTTAAAAGCACCTGGAATCACTCCACTATCTCAGTACTGTTAAATTATCTTTTAAACCATGTTTAAGAGAGAAATGTACATCTGGTTGAAATACCTGGTGTGTCAGATTTCATGCCAGTGAGACTCTAATGTCAAAGTTACAGCATATTTGGTGTGTAACGGGAGCACTGAGTGGGCCTGGATCACAAACACAGTGCTGCAATTCCAGGTTTCTGGTTTTCCTTCTGTCAAGATTAAAATAGGTTATTCAGAAATAAGAGAGAGCAGTCAGTTTGTGTTCTGTAAACCAGCACGTTGGAGCATGCAGGGCTTTTCGGCTCAGCTCTATCGCAAGGGACAGGTGTGTGGTTGGGAGCTGGAGTGAATGTGGCATGAAGAAAGTTGACCAAATTGCGGAACAAATTGAAGTCAGTATCTAGAAATTGAATCTAATCAAGTTATGCCTGCTTTTTTTTTTCTAATATGGCAAGAAAATAAGGAAAACGTTTCATTTCTGTCAGTCATTTTGATGTTTTGACATTCTGCTGTATTCATTTCAGTCTAGCATTGCTGGGTTTTCCCACTCTTTGGCTACAGAAAATGACATTCACTTCAAAAAACCTAAAACGAAATGCAAAGGAATTTTGGGGAATATGTCTGTTTTTATGTGCACAAGTAGTGAGCGTGGGGTTTGGTACCTGGCAGCGTATGGAAGTCTGGCTCTGGGTATTCCTGGGCTTTGCTGCCTGGAAATGATCTGATTAAAAGGTGCAGGCTGGGTATCACAGAATCACACAATATTAGGAGTTGGAAGGGACCTCGAAAGCTCATCCAGTCCAACCCCTGCCAGAGCAGGATCACCAGACCAGGTCACACAGGAACACGTCTGGGCGGGTTTTGAATGTCTGCAGAGAAGGAGACTCCACAACCTCTCTGGGCAGCCTGGGCCATGCTCTGTAACCCTCACAGTAAAGAAGTTTTTCCTCATATTCAGATTGAGCCTCCTATGCTCCAGCTTGCACCCATTGCCCCTTGTCCTGTCATTGGCTGTCACTGAGAAGAGCCTGGCTCCTTCCTCCTGACACTCGCCCTTTCCAAATTGATAAACATGAATGAGGTCACCCCTCAGTCTCCTCTTCTCCAAGCTAAAGAGACCCAGCTCCCTCAGCCGCTCCTCATAAGGAAGATGCTCCACTCATCAGTATCTCTGTCCTTGAATCTCAAAGTTGTGGAGCCTTCAGCCACGTGGCATCTGCAGACGTTGTCTTGCTGTGTGTAACGCTGGGGCTGGAGCTGCTCTGTGTGCTGTGTTTGTGAGACCTTCTGCAGCCTGCATTTACACGTGCTTGCTTTTGCCTGCCTAAATGGACCAGGTGTTTCTGTGGAAGGGAACCTACTGTTTAAATCATCAGTGTTTGTTTGCGCTAATGATTCCTGAGGTGAATTAGAAGGAGTACAGTATTTAGTAATGCGTCATTTTAGTAATTCCACTTAATGCACACGCAGTTTTTAATCAAGTTTAGTGTACATTTGTAATCATGTCATTCCCTGTTTTTTTTAAGCCAGATTTGTTCCTTGTAGTCTATTTAGCCTTACATTTTACATTATTTGATTACAGAGTGAGTGCTAGTTAAATTTGTAAGAGCACTGGAAAAGAAGGGAATTGTGTCTGTGTGTATTAAATAGATAAATAGGGGGAGATACAAGATTTACCTTGGTTCACAAAACACTCCAGTGGCTTTCCTAGGCTGCGAACTTGGTTTCTTTGCTCATGGTCTCAAGGTAAAGGGGCTGGGTCCGATTTTCATCCCACCAGTTTTACAACACAGCAGCCATTAATCTGAGTACGTTTTGTTCTGTTTCCCAGAGCAGTAGTCTGCAGTCTGCTCAAGAGCCACACGTCATTACCAATGAAAAATGTAGTATCTGGAGCTGTTGGAAGCTTGTGTTGTGAAAGTTTTGAGGAGGAAAGTGTAAAATTCTGTACTGCTATGGTGATAAATTGCCTTTAAAAACAAGGGCGAATGGGACTGTTCTCACAGGATGTGTTTGAGTGGAAAAGACAGGCTCTGGTTTAGTGTGTACCTGCACTCTCTCTGCTCAGAACTCTTCAGAGAGCTGGCTGCAGTCAGTGTGCTTGGAAAATGCTTTTGCTGTGATGACAGTGTACTTAGAATAGCTCCTTGGCTGTCTCTGAGCCGTTGCCTCTCACAGCTTCTGAGCGCCCGCTTGTCCTCCTGTGCAATTACGCCCCGCACCGCGCAAGTCCAGCGGCGCGCTGGGCTTGGATCCCTCCTTGAAATGCAGGAGCTGCCACATGGTATCTCCTCAGCCCTCAGCAGACCTAATGAGTGCTGCACTACAGTTAAAGAGCCATCAGCGCCCTGATGACACACAGCACAGCGCTCAACAGCCTGTGCAGGGTCTGCTCTTCTAAAAACAATCTCAGATTTCAGATAGGCTATAAATTGAATCCCCTACTGTCATACCTCCTGAGCATTTAGGGTGCTGTGGAAAAGCTTACATAGCTTCTCTGGAAAAAACTAGAAAAATAAACCTTGCTTCATAGCGTGACCTTTCCATGTCATTGAAGGGTGAATGAGAGCTAAACTTCAGTCCAAAATAAACAGAAGTGATTGCAAGATTGAGAGTGAAATGTCTGTAGACAGTTTCAAGAAAAATCTCTTCTTGCTAAAAGGTAGCATGACAGCCTGTTGGATGGGAGCATTATATTTTCTAGCATTATACATATTTAAAACACATAAGGAGATGAGAAAGCTTCTCCCCAAATGCTAATTTTAGGGAGGGGTTAAGAAAAAATGATCACTCCCGTATTGGAATTTCCATTGAAGCAGCCAGGCTGGCAGGTAAGCCATATGTACCTCTTCTAGACATAACATAGTTTGTTTGCTGATATGTTAATAAAATTACTCCAGAGTCTTGTGACTTTACAATAAATTCACAAAACCAAGTTTATTGTAGGATTAAGTATTTATACTCCAAATGTAATTGTATAATTAATCATGTTTGCACTCTGGTATCGTTTTGATGGATTTAACTTCTCTTAAACAGAATGAAGATGGATTAACAGAATTCTTTGAAGATGTGGTAAAGCAGACGCAGATGAACCCAAAGAAGGTGATCGGCTGGGTTCTGAAGGACACACTCAGCTATTTGAAACAACGCTCCCTTGCAGTAAAGGACAGGTCAGGCCTCTTCATTCCTGCAGTGGTGAAACAGAAGTGATCCTTTTCTCATGTACCACGAGTAGTGTCGCGTCACTGCAGTGCTCCCTTCTGCTTTAGTTGTTATCTGTGAAGTTTGCTACCCTGGGCAGTACCAGGGCACAGGCCTTGGCGCTGTCTTGCTGAATGGAGTTAACCAAACACCACGCAGAGAAGAGGACCGTGTGGTTAAGAGTAGTAATCAGAATCTTCCGTCCTTGGAGTATGACAGTGGTAAGGCATAGTCAGACAATCGACACCAAAGTTGAATATAGTGTATCATGATGAAAAATACCAGCCTGTCATGCTAAACCGCGTCAACTTCAGGCAAGCAACAGTAGCCTAGACACATTACTTCAGCTTACTCTCTGAGGTGACTTCTGCTCTCTTTCTCCCTAGCCCAGTCAGTTCCTTTGTCCTGGCTGACCTTCTGAACCTTCTAGAAAAAAAAGCAATTTCTTCTACAGCAGCTAAGCAGGTGAGTACCCTTTTGGTTTTACTGTACTTGGAATCTGTGGCTGCTCACTCCATTCCCGTAGCAATTCTATAATCAGAGTGTACCGCTACATCAGTTGCTTTGAAAGGAAATTATGTAGTGTTGATGAAGGATAAATTTTGTATCTACTATATACATATAATAGATGAAAGCACCTCATGTGTATATAGTCCTGCAGATACGTCTGCACATCAGGTGTTAGACACAAGCCAAATAGTGGATTTAAGCAATGTGAACTGAAGTCAGTTAAATAAATCTTGCTTAGTTAAATAAATCCTGCTTCTGAACTAGATCTTGGTTTCACAGTTAAACCTGAGGGAAAGGTCAGGGGCAGCTGCTCTGTGAGTTGCAGTTAAGCTGAGAGTATCAGTTACTACAGGTACTAAGGGACAGTGAGGTCTGCATTCCCAAGGATTAGCATGTGGAAAAGGATAGAATTCACCTGAGTGTAGCCACAAAGAGTTCTGCTCTGGTGGACCCCTGAGTCAAAAGGGGAGAGGTCTGGTCTTACTTTTATCCTTGCTGCTTTGAACAAGTGCTGTCGTGGATGTCTCAGGCAAGTATGGGTGGTAAAGGCAGTTTACCCCTCTTTCTAAATGTCATCTTGCTTAGGACAGTCTGAAAAATCAGCTCTTGATGATTTGTATCTAAAATTGGGAACTACTTACGATGGGTGCAGTGACTGCTGTGTGTCTGCAGACAAAATTTGTAGGTTTTTTGTGATACAGAATCTGTTCACCTCAAATTCTTGCATTTATGTGGAATGCGTTGTCTTTTCAGACGAAATAGTATTCTCCAGATAAGTGCATTAGATGAGTGCTTCTTCTCGGGTGGTCATCAGTGAAACTGTTAACGAAGAGACTTGCCTTGCCTTGTCTGCTTTCAAGCTTTTAACACTCCAAAATACACAGGGCAGGTTTTCATCTTTCTAGCACACACTGATTTAGTCCAAATACAACTTTGCAATAGCACTGAGGTCAGTTCGCTTTTTGCATTATTATAAACCAAGTGTAACTGCTGCAGGTGTGGCTCTTTACCCTGCTTGGAGACACTTCAACCTCCCGGTCTGCAGTCTTTGAGGGGTGAGAGGGTGGGTTTTGGAGGTGCTTGTGGTTCTTACTTAAGTTGGTCTTGTTGTTGGTCTGCTTCCCTGAATAGCCAGCTGCGTACGACAGGCATCATGAATAAGGATTTAAGTGCCCGCCTTCAGGCATGTGTATTTGGAAATTTTGGATTGGAAAAGTAAAAGCTTCAGAAAGGCGATAAAGTATTAATAGGAAAAGCGTTGGAATGCAGAGCGGTTGCGTGCCTGCGGGGCCGTGGCACAGCCATCAGTCTGGTGTCTGCCTTTGAAAGGGAAGCTCCAGAACTCCAGCCCTAACTTCCCTGAGGAGGCAGAGACAGGGAACTAATGCTCTTCTACCCGAGTTTTTGGCCTTGTGATATATTGGTGTGCCAGCACTTCTGACAGGTCAGGGAATGTCAGGAATTTCAGAGATGCTTTTCTTGTTTAATTACCAACTCCTTGTAAGGCGCGTGTTGTCCTCTGTGCTCTGAAAGTGGACGCAGAGAAATAACAGCACTGTTTGCCATCACTGAGTGATGCTATCAAACTGCAGAAACCCTGCCACATTTAGACAAGTATTTTGGTTGCCTGGATGTCAGAAGAATAACAAATGTTTATAACAATTCTCAGCAGTAGGCAGAGATACTGGATGGCCCGAGGGCAGAAAGGGCTATATATACACAACAGCAGATGAATTGCAGCGCTTGGGGTGGGGAAGAATGAACTGCAGCCGCAGAGACAGATCCAGCGAGGAAGGCTTGCAAGGGTTTGACGGGGTGAGCGCGCAGACATGCGTACGCATACGTGCTCGCTGCGGGAAGCTGTTAACCGCTTAAATTTTTTAAGAGGTTTTGTGTTCGGTCTCTGCTGTATAAGGCACGAAAACAGACAGATAAAAGCTGCAAGCACTGATTATAGACACAGAGCATTGTATGGGAGGATGCACACGCCAAGGAAAGGGCACCGTGTGTGTACATAATTACCACTTAGGTAATTACAGAGCTCACGCCCAACTTGCCATCAAATGCAGCATCCTCCTCCACAGGTCTCTGAAGCGGTTTCAGGCTGGCATGCCTGTGTGAAGGGGAGCGCAGGGCCGCGGGTGAGCCTGTCCTGTACCAGGGGACCTGTGCGGGACACGCAGTGGCCCACCTCAGAGGCACTGTTTTGAAGTCCACGGTGGGAGGCGCCAGTGCTGCTCATCCAGGGCCAAATCCAGTCCAAGGGGGAGCGTGGCCGAGGTGGGGCCTGGGTCCTTGTTTGCAGGGCTGGCGCTGAGGGGCCTGCCTCGGAGTCATGGCCTTGTGGGACGAGGCCAGTTCCTGAGCTGGGGAGGCAGAAACTTGCCCTTGCAGCTGAGAGCCGTGCTGGAACAACGCCACGTGGACACCCGTGTCACACACCCTTCGGGATCTGTAGCAGAGTATGGAGCAGAGCAGACCCCACGTCTCATTTGCCTCTACGGTTGCACAGGTCACCCACATAGGAATAACTTCAACAGGCTCACTTGGCACCCCTGCGTTAAAGTAGATAGCAGGGAAATGAGTACAGTATACAAACCTAACCAGCACCATCTGCTTTGACAATTACGGCTACACCATCTGGAGGACTGGACCCAGCCTGCCCCTCGCTTTTGTCAAAAAGGCTGAGGGACAGCAGCCAGGCAGTGCAGCTTTCCATCACTGGGACGGAGAGGTGCCCGCAGGACGGACTGGAGCGGCACCGCCGGCTGCTTCCCTCCCACCCTTGGCAGCGGGTGGCTGCAGATAGGGTTTCCAGTTGGAGAGCTCTCAGGCACGGCAGTCAGCTGGCACGTTTGCCACCCGCAAAATGTTTGATATGATGCCCGTGGCAGCCAGACCCGTAAGTCCTGATTAATTCGTCTTGACCAATGGTTTGCTGCTAGGCCTGTGCAGGTAAAGGCAGCAGAACATCATTAAAACCTAATCACGCTCAGGCGAGAATCAATAGTCGAAACTACTGAGATTTCTGTAATGGAAATGAGGCCTGAGATTCTCTTTTTGGCTCTGGAGACTTCATAATTTGATCCTCCTGTTCCTGTGCAGGCAGTTTGTGTAAATGAGTTGAAATCATTTTTTAAACTGCTTTCTTTGGATTCGCACTCCTTGCCAAGTGGAAAAACACATTTTTAAAAGTGCATCTTTGACAGGTCTTGGCCACATCTCTTTCTGCTTGCCGACATACCTGTAAACAAGCAAGGGCCTTGATAACATTGTTACTCTTCCAGCTAAGCTGAGATGCTGGTTACCAAATTGAAAAGTACACACGGTGCAGATGTCACCGCGAAAATCTGGTGCCTTCAAGGTTTCGAATGGGCGAGCTGGTCTCAGTGCCAGGAGATGTTTGGCACAGGAGCAGCAGGGAATCGGAGCTGGATCTGTGGCTGTCAAGCTGTCCTGCCCTGATCTAAGTCAGCCTGATGTATGAGTTGCTCCTGGGTAACTCTGCCATGGTCGGCTGCTTAGATTTTGTTTGTTGCAGATTTTCCCCTTCTGCAGCCCATGGCATCCAGCTTGAATACATACAGTCCTAAAAACCACATCTGCCTTTTTCCAGAAGAGTGCTATGGCTTATCCACTGTCCAGCCCCTGATTTATGCAGCACTCCAGACTCTCCAGGGTGTTTTGCTACAGGCTGTGCTGTTTGTGAAGAGGACAGAGCCCCTTCTGAGGGGTGATGCACCCTCCTGGTGCCCTGGGAGGCCCTGAGGACAGAGAGCTTCCTGCCTGGTCCCTCAGGGGATGAGCAGGAGCGGGCTGCGTGGGGTAGCAATGGGGTCAAACAAACAAAAAAAGCTGAGCAGCTGCAGACAGGTTGATTCTCCGTTGGATGCATTTGTTTCTGGGGGTGTTTCAGATACCACTGGCATGATAATTTTTAAGTACTGCACTAGAAGGCAGATCTGGTAGAAGTCATCGTATCCTGCACTGATTGATTTAGTTATAAACAGCTGAAAGCTTTACTTACAGCAGTTGTAACTCCAGCGGCTTATCAGTAACTTTAATGATGTGGTCTGCCTTTAACCCTCTCACAGGAGAAAACCAGGACAGAGCCGCCACAATGCAGCTGTGTGTCACTGCCCACTCTCGGGGTCTCCAGCAGAGTGATACGATCCCATAAAAAGCTTTGGGGTACTGCTGGCAAACAAATCTCCTCTTGCAGGAATTGTGTCAATGTGTGGTCCTTAAATACCTGTTGTGGTTACAAAATTGTTTAAGTGAAGGTCTTTTGTACCAGGAAATTCTTCATGCTGAAGAAAATTGCTGGGGTAGTTACAGTACCATCCCACAGGCTTCGTTTTTCCTGAGTTGTCTTGCTGCCCTGTTAATTACTTAACTTACAGTTTAAATGCCTCTTCTCATCTCCCCATCCCGGCCTCTTCTTCATCCTACACTGAGTGTTTAATGCTGAGGTTGTAACATGACATCCATTTCCGTATTGGTACACAGCAGTGGCCCAAACACACAATTATACCTTCAGCTCAGGATGAAGCACAAGCAGTGGTTTTAATAAGGGTTTTCTTTCCCTCCTCCCACAGCTCTGAAATAAGAGCAAAGGGAATACAGAAAATGACTGCCCAAGGAAATTGGTTTTTTACAAATGTTCTCTCAAGTTTATTCCAGGGTGAGAGCTACAGCCTAGGAAAACTCACTGGCATTAACAGGGAGTTATTCCAGAGGCCTGGGTTCGCCCAGCATTACAGTACTTGGAGGTGATGCATAGGTGGGCTGCAGCTGCTGCATCCGTTCTGCTCGGCCTCATTTTTCTTCTGCTTTGTCATACGAACCCTCATTACAGCTCGCTGATGAGGGCTGGTAATGGGATGAGTTACCAGGACTGGCCGTGGTACAGCAGTCAGCTAATGGCCAGTTCCCAGGCACAGCCATTGCTCATGGAAATGCATTTTGTCACTGCTCCCATTCAGTTCTTGTGAATAACGTGAAACGAGCGCTACTGGAGGAGCAGCCTTGCTGTCAGTGGCAGCCTCTGCCGTGGGCCCCCCTCTCCCAGCGAGGTACATGGGGGCTGCGCCAGGAAAACCTCTTGGAAGAGGCACCATCGCTGACAGTGGTGAACCGTTAACCTGCACTCGTGCAGTGCGTGAAAACGCTCAGTCTTATTTCAGGATGCAGAAGAAGAGCAGGGTACAGGAGCTCTTTCAGCGAGGCGCAGGATTCAGTTGTGGGTTTGTTCACGTTTAGACAGCCTGCTCTTGCTTTAACTAAAACCTGGCTGCTTGGATCAGTAGCTGAAACACCGCATGTAAACAACGTTGATGTGTCACGACACTGACCTTTGCTGCTCGCTGTGGTTTTCAGGTGCTCGCGGAATTGTGGAAGGGAGAAGGGAAGACTCCTCTGGAAATTGTCAGAGAGAAGAAACTGGAACCGATACAGGAAAAAGAGCTCGAGCAGATCTGCCAGGCGGTGATCGATGGACATGAAGATGAGGTGATTATGGTGGTGCTGGGAAGCTTGTGCACTGTGGCGGTCTGTGGCACTGAAAAGGGGCTGAAAATGGCCTTTTTTTTATATCTTTTGATTGGCATTTGAGCTCTAGAGCCGGTATAAGAGCATTGAAGCTGCTGCTCAGACACTGTCAGGCTTTTCTTCTCCTTTCTTACTTTGCTAAGTGTTTTTTCGGAAATTGAAGCATACGCAAAACAGTCGGCAGAAGAAATTACCTTAGCTAATGCACTAAGGCACTCTGAGAGACCGTAAAGATTTAATACAGGAAAGCACAACTGGGGGGCCCTGCCCCCCCCAGCCGTACTGCCATGAACCTGAGCTGGCCACCCCACCTCTGAGCTCAGATTTATCTCATCTGGTGTGGGCAAACTGTGGTATGAGGGTTAAACTGCTCTGAAGCTGGAGATTGAAGTTCCCTGCCAGTGAGGCATATATTAGTTATGGAATTAGAGACTGCATCCTTCTTGATCATGAAGGAGAGGGGTGGGAAGGGATCTTGACAAAGTCTAAACTCTGCTTTCTAAAAGGCAAAATGAAAACAAGTGCTTATATCTTCTCTGGAGTGAAAATGTAAAAGCAGAAGTGAACAGCTTACTTGTAATATAAACATTGTCTAGGTACATTTGCCATTTGGAAAAAACCCCATTAACATCTTTTGAGAACAATACCGCCCACCCCAGCTCTCATTGGGGGATGCTAACAGCTCTGCGAGAGCTTTTGATAAAGAAAATGGGCTTGCAGTAGGTCGGCGTGACCTCCATCAGCCTGACTCATTTGCACAGCCTGATAAAAGTGCTGCTGCATTTTCAGGCTGGAACGGGAGCACAAGTGTGGATAGAAAGAACATTACAACTGATTGGGAAGTGCAGGAGCCGAAGGTCCGTAACTGCACTCCCATTTCAATAATAATGCTTTCTCCGAGAACGTAATTCCCGTCTGTTTTCCGCTCTTTTCAGTCAGGCCCAGTGCAGCAGAATGGCCTCACTTCCCTGTTTTTTCCAGGTGATCTTTGGCTAAGGCAAAGCTGCCTCAAAGGCCTCTAATTCAGTGCTTTAAATTGCTGCGAGAGCTCACCTTACCAAACAGTTAGCAGAGTACTTGATTGGGGGAGGAAATGTACCTTAACGTTCTTTGAACTGAATTAAGGTACAAACAGGTGCTCAAGCCAACACGGAGCACTTGGTGGAAGTGCAGTGTCTGGATTGTGCTGCATCCTGCCCCGTATAGGTCATCAGTAGCAGATCAGGAGTAACGGGTCCTTTCCATTTGGTGGAAGTGCAGTGTCTGGATTGTGCTGCGTCCTGCCCCGTATAGGTCATCGGTAGCAGATCAGGAGTAACGAGTCCTTTCCACATTGTGACGCTTCAGAGGTTTTAGACTGCCAGTAATTCGGATACCATCATGAGCAGCAGTATTTGCATTTGTGCTTGGTCTTGGCACAGTGATGGTTCATATGTTTGCAGTCCTCCCCTTAATATCTGTAAATACGAGATCCTGTTGAATCGAAGCTGTCATGTTTTGCCCTAGCATCTCCTTCAGCAATGCCCAGAAGGGAAATGTCCAATGCTTTTTTTAGTGTCTTTGCAATCTTTCAACGTGACCATTGCTATTTTGCAGGCGCTCGTGCATTGCACACAAGATGTTTGATAGGAGGCCGTATTTTGGGTCAGTTAATTAATTGCTGTGTTGCAAAGGATTCCTGGCTTAAAGGAGCTGACACGCTGGTACAAAAACACCCATGTCTGTGCGTGAAGGACCACACAGATGCTACAAATATTAGCAAAAAAGCAGTCAGTCACATTTTTCTGGCTCTTCTCCAGGAAGTTGCTGTTCAAGTTGTAGACACTGTTAAAATGCAAAAGTGCTTTCTGACTTTTCCAATAAGAGGAGATCTTTCTATTAGTTGCAAGGCGCTGCTGCTGTAGGGACTTCTTGTTGTCTCATGGGAGCAGAGCAGGAGCTTATTGCAAAGCTGAAGGCAGTTCTTATAAATAACATCTTAGCCCAAAATACAGCATTCTACCACAAGGGTCCAAAGGACAAAAATATTCAGACCATGGCTGTGAATGAGTGAAGATGTCCAGGTTTACTGTAGCAAGGGTGTCTTGTTTTTTCTTTAAAGGTGCTGGAGATAAAAGCAGGCACCCTGAAAGTTCTCAATAAGTTGATCGGCCTGGTACAAAGAGAGACGCAAGGACGATCCAACCCTGTGCTGGTGAAGCAGTTGCTGGAGAAGAAGCTGTTAAAGTAGCTACAAGAATAACACATGCAAGTGTCTACAGAAGCCCTGTGCTCCGTTCTGCCTGGGTCACTGCAAATAAACTTTGGTGCCTCCTCGCGTATCCCCAGGACAAGTGGTGATACTTTGAGCCATGTTGCAGCCCAGCCTTCCCTGGATGCATCAGATGAGCAGAAGAACAGAGGAGATGGCACCGTTTGCTTCTCCCTCACTTCAGTGCAGCATTTGGAAATGTGATTTCCACGCGGTCGTGGGAAACGAGGTCCCAGAGGTGTCTGTGAGTATGCAGAGCTGCAGCAGTGTTGGTTGGTTTTGTAATAAAGTGAGTGTAAACTCGGCTTTTCTAGCTGCCTTTTTGTGAGGAGGGAAAGTCACAGATCCTGAATGCAAAGTCTGGTGGTGCAGGCTAACAACTCACTGTAAGTTAGTGTGAGCTCACCAGTAACAGCGATTAAAACACCTCGCGGTAATTAAGATGACCACATGTGCCTCCATGCCTACCAGAAGAGACAAAAACATCCAGTGCTGTCATTCCTCCTGGTTTCTGAGGGATGAGGACAGGATGAAGTTGGTAGCTGCTGAAGTGCCCGAGGCTAATGCCTCAAACAGATACAAGTGCCTGCATCTAAGGATCAGTGTCAAATTTTGCTTGCCTTCTCCTTGTTACGTACCCAAACATCTGCTTTGCCTACTCACAGCGCTTCTGCTTCTGAAGAGTCCCCATGGATGCACACCTGAGCCCTGCCGAGGGTCACAGCCCCTTTTGGCCTGCGAGGTGCATCTGCTCGTGCCTCTGCCTGCCCTGCACAACCTGCAGAGGAACAAGGAGGGCCCTTGGCTTACGCAGTAGCTCAGTAAAGGGACCATTCGCTCCAGTTTGGGTTTTCTGTCTCCTGGTAAGAACCTGACCCTGTGTTACAAATGCTCTGTGCCCAGGGGTGCACGCTTCTCCAGCACGTGGCACTGCCCCACTCTGTGGCAGGGATTGAACACGAGTTGGCTTTCCTGACCTGGGCAAGAGTCAGGTGGGATCCAGGGTCTGCTCCACTATTTCATCCATGTTTATTCTGGGTGGTTTTTTTAGTACCTTCCATTTTTCAGCTCCTGGGTTGAAGTACCACTGAAAGCTGGGTCCCAGCTGATCAAACCATTAACAGGAGGTGCCACTACAGACAACCCATCCGATTGACATAAATTAGGGAAAGAAAGTCCATTTAGTACCAGGAGTTTGAAGCTTTCAGATCCCTTCTGAGCCGTACACTTTGAAGATCACATTTATCCCAGCCCTCAGAGATACTTCTGCAGGTACGGCCCTGGGACTCGGGTCACCTTTTCCAAATGTGGTGTTTGCACCTCTGGCAGGTCCCGCTCCGGAGCAACGGTGTTAATGTACGGCTCGAGACGGACATTTCTGTGCAAACTGGTGCATGGTTCAAGTGTGAACTCTTAATTAGAAGAAAAAAAACAACCATGGTTTTCATATACATTTAATGAATAAAATGTATACCCCATTATTCACACAAAAATAACTGTACAATTCAGAAGTCATACAGCTGACAGAAAGCAGTAACAGGGTTGCAATCAAAGACGGTGACCCTTCAGGAAAAACAAAACAACAAAAGCAACCTCCAAAAACCAAAACTCCACCCCCCGCCCAGGATTTTCCTGTAACCTGACCTTCACACCAAGGCTTTTACTGTCACTTCTCATGTCGTGAGCAACAAAATGCCATTGTCACTTACAGTGCTGTGAGTTTTCAGGTAAGTGTTCAGTCAGCAAAGGTTTCGATTGTAGAGCAGACCTGAAATTTTGGAATTCTCTTCAACTCTTGCCATGGCAGCAAGAAACAAAAAGGCACAAGGGCTCCTGCGTGGAAGCCTGAATCTTAATTTCAAGGTACCTCCTCCGTAGGAAACCACGGCTGCTTCCCAAAGGTGAACGTCCAAGGTTAACGCTGCTTGTTGCGCAGTTCGGTGCTGCAGTGGGTGCCTCTTAACCAAGAGAAAGCAAAACAAGGATGTGTTTGGAAAAGTAATATAATTAAGCTGTAGTTAAACGAAGGAAGGATCTCCACTACGGTAGCATGGCTACTGCTGGTAAATGTCTTTTTAATGGCTGCTTTTTCTTAGCCACTCTCTTCCTACATAATTACACTCTGCTAATATGGTACAAAATCTGTTAAAAGTCATGAGCCGAGTTCTGTGCGGGTACAGAATTAGATCTTGAAATGGATTTGCTGTAAATCTCAATCTATTTTCACCTCCACCTGCCAGACACAATGGAGAACAAGAAAGATGGAAAAGGGATAATTGTGCTATTCCTCCCCTCCCAGGGAAGGGAAGGAGCAGCTCCAGTCTCTACATTTTGCACTGTATTATGAAACAGTCACTTCTAAAATTCTTTAAGAAACTTTTTGCAGACGCACACAAAATGTGAATTTCCTTCTGGTAGGAGAAAAAAAAAAAGTGGTTTGAGTCAAATGAGATCGAGATGAGGAATCTTTGTAACTTCTGTGGAGGTACCGGCTGCCAACCTCACTGCAGCGGTGCATGGCAGGGAGAAGGCTCAGCAGGGCCAGGTGCCACCGCCCCCCCCTGTGGCAGCCCCTGGTACGGGGCTCATCAGTCACACCACTACAACCAAAACACTGGAGCCTTTTCCCCCTGCCAAGGGTCTGACACAGCGGCCTAAGTAAAACACCCACCTTCCTCTGCGGCCTACACGGAGCTAAAGGCAAGTTCTGAGCACTCTGGACTGAGCAAAACAGCTTTGGTTTATGTTTGCATAGCAGGAGGCGATGGAGCGCACTAAAAGACAGAAGCGGCGGCCTCGAGGAATTTAATACCTGCCATTGTAAAGAGAAATTTGAAAAGCCCCACAGGACAGGCCCGCAAGGTGAAAGGCAGAGCCTGGCCCTGAAGTGTTCAGTGGCAGAGCATTTTGCAGACCAGGAGGCCGGTTTAAGCGTGGTTTTATCGAGGCGAGGAACTGCAGAGTTAAGAGGGAGTTAAGCTCTGACCCCAACTCGTGACTCTTTCTTAGCTGCCACAGCGCTCCCTGAGCCACCGCTCGCAGATGCCATCTGTGCGACAGCGTTTGGCGGGGTGAGTTCAGGACAGTTCCGTGCAGATTTTCAGCAGGGACCATCCCCAGACAGAGGGCCGAGGAAAATGCTCACAACTGAAAAGCTGACACCAGCCACTGCCACGATTGTCTCAGCTCATTGCTCCTCCTCTGGGAGCTCACTCCTGAGGGTGGAGAGATGATACTGACTGTCCTGGATAGCTGAACTCTCCCGTGTCCAAGGTTGCAGGAGAGGAGAAGAAAGCTGCCGAGAAAGATGCTGGCGATGCTGAAGTAGCGAAGAAAGAATTTCTAGCACTCAGCCTTGGCTGCAGGGTTTAATTTTAACTGTGTTAAAAATAGCAGCATATGATAGGAACCTTCGCTAAAAAAATTTGCAGCTAGAGCACGCACGCTGCGATTTTACGGTGGCCTCTTTCCACGCCACTTCTGCAGCGGTGTGAGCGTGCGCCAATGCTCCGCTGCTGTTCTGAGCACCCTCTACCTACGCACTTTCACAGCCACAGACCTCCTCTCAGCGATCTGTGGCCCTGTGTATGTGCTCAGCGCGAGGAGCGGTTGGTGCTTTTCACACAGACCGAAACAAATCGGGTTTTCACTCAACTCTCTGTGCTCAAACTGCGGGGGGAGAAGATGGAGCAGCAGAGACAGAGTAGCACACTGCTGGGCTTCGTGCCCTTGTTTGCCTGCATCTTCCTTGCAATGCCATTCACAAACGCTCCAGAGTTCACTGAATTCTGCTTCACATAATGGCCTTAAAACCCAAGTTACAGCAGACAGCAGGTCAAGATTTATCAAGATTTACCCGAGTCCCAAACCTTGAGATGTCCACAGGCTGTGCAGGCACTTCTGTTGTCTGCAGCATTTGCTGAGCAGTCACAGGTAGAGCTGGAGAGGGGACCCCAACCTTTGCTGTTCCACCCCTTTACTTGTGTGTGAGGTCCAACTCATGACCCTGCGAACGACTCCATCTCACCTGCTGCCTTTTCCCAAAAAAAACCTGCGTAACCTCATCTAGGTGTTCCTGCTCCAGCAGGGGGATTGGACTGGATGAGCTTTTGAGGTCCCTTCCAATCCCTAACGTTCTGTGATTCTGTTCTGTGATTCTGTGAAAAGACGGGTGACAGCTGTGCCAGGCCCCACATCACCCCAGCACGAACACAGGCAGCCAGTGGTTTTCTGCCACAGCCACTGCCTTGTCATCACAGATCTGGAGAAGGGCCTAGGGCTGGGCACAGCGCTTGGAGCTGCAGAGGTTGTACCACCATGAGCTGGTTCTAACGAGCGCTTGGAGGCCGAGGGTGTCACTGCAGGGAACGCTCCCTCCACACACTGGCATTTTGTGTAAGCACAAAACAGAAGTTGTCCTGACACGCGGCTGCATCAGCCACCGCTTTAGTTACCTACAGCATTTACACCCGCTAAGCAGCCATAACCATCAGGATGCTGTATTTTACCTTCTCATTTCTAAGGCTCGAGAGGCCACATTTTCAGACGGCTCTTTAGGTTTTTCACACTGAAGCTCACAAACCGATGTTACGACTCTGGAGTTTTACGACAGACACCAAGCTTCCAACACCAAGCTGAGCTTACCCCTCCAGAGAGACAAATCCTTGGTGGAGCTGCAGAGGGGACACCGAGACCCGGAGCCGCTCCCTCCCCTTTGAGGATGAGCCGGCGTTTTGGCTGAGCTCCGGCCAAACCGACACAGCAGCACCGAGCTGGGCACAGTTGTCTTGGCTCAACCGCATTATTTTTTGGTCTAAATCCAAGCTGGTTCTTTTTAAAGCAGACTGCAGTAAAATACAGCTGCTGTGGCATTGGCTTCGTCAGAAATTTCAGGCTGCAGGTATTTAGTCCACAAGTCATAATTGTGGGCGGGCAATCTGCTGGAGCGCCAGGGAAAGGCGCTCGGTTGAGCAATGCAG